TCTGGTCTGCTTCATCAAAGTGGCCTTGAGTTCATTACTTGATGATTGGAGACCACAAGTGAGCACTTGGCTCTGGTTCTATACTGTTGGTTTTCAAATCTTTGAGTTTGTTGGCATATTGGTCCAGCCCATGATGGAAGAAGAAAGTAGTCTCCCACAACTTTCTGGCTCCTTCTCAAGCTTCACGTGATGAGTTTTGGAGGAGTGCTTTTGAGATGTTCTTTTTATAATTAAAGGGAATATGGCTGGTGGCTAATAATATTGCATGGAATGATGATGTCTTTGGTGGGAGACAATGCATGGTCCAATGATAAAGAATGTTCTTTCTCTTTGGCTGGCCATCACGTGGGTTGGTATGCGGTTTCCCTCATTAGGAGAGTTGCTGCATGGGTTTATACAAGGAGGCAGCAACCAAAGCTGGAGCAGAGAGAGCGTGTTGCACCAGAGAAGACGTCGTGAGACAGAGAGAGAAGGGTGAGAACACCATCCGAAAGCCATCAGTCTTCCACTCTAATATTGTGAGAGTGAGAGAGTTAGTTGTGTACCACTCTACTAAGTGTTTGAGTGAGGTAAAAGTGGGAGAGTATAATGTGGTGTCATTGTACTTTCTCTGTGTGTATCATCAAGCCCTGGGCATTGGCTTGCTAGGATCTCTCTGTGTGTGTATGGACTATAGCGTTAGTATCATTTATGTATCTTAATGTATTGACAATAGCGTTAGTATGTATCATTTGTATCTTAATGGGTCTACAATAGTATTAGTAGATACTAGATATCATTTCTGTATCTTAATGTGTTGATAATAGTGTTAGTAAATATCATTTTTTTTATGTGTTGATGATAGTGTGAGTAGTATGAGTATCGGATCTATATCTTCATGTTTTCGTTATACTTTCAGTATATCATATTTAAACTTTGTATGTTGCAGGTATAAAATGGAATATGGGTTTGAACTTTGTTTCACATAGGCGAGTACGATCTTATAATCAAGCAATTTCTATGGATAAACGTCAGTATTAAAATTCACAATAAAATACTGAGGAAACTAATTTATCATTGCTTGCACTCGTTTACAAGATGCTGACTATATTTATATACAAGTATTCTGCATGTGGGTAGAGACTTTAAGAATAAAATAACATATCACTAATCTGATAAATATTCTGCACTAGTCAAGACCACATGCAGTTGTCTTGGTCCCACACCTACACTACCGTTTGTCCAGCTCTGTGTACATGCACCAGAATATTGTGTTGTCTACTTAGTGATTATGTCATGTCTTCTTCTCAACACTCCCCGCAAACTTGGCTCCCGGGAGACAAGTTTGGATACCAAATGAGAAAAAGCGACCTTTGGATAGTCCTTTGGTAAAAACATAATTGAAACCAGAAACATTTCTTGTGATACTCTAAACCTTTCTTCTGATACTCTTCTCATACTCTGTTTAGCAAGTTTAAAAAAAATTAAAAAACCAAACAGATGAGCCAGCAACATAACACAAGCAAATATGAAACGATGAGTTCGAATAAAATTGAACAAGAAAATTATTTTAATTTCTGTAAGTGGTTGCTAACCTCCAATGTCCCAACATCAACAATAAAAACCATTTTAAAAAACCTCTTAATGGAAATCCTCTTCTAAAAATTAAAAAAAAAACTGCATTCCTGCTGCTAATAAACAAATTACCATTTCTTGAATCCACAGGTATGACCAATCTTTTCACTTCATTTAAAAAATATAAACATATCATCAATTTCATCCCCAACTTCATTTATAATAATTACCAAATTTGCAGGGCAACCAGAGCCATCAATGCATAGCTGGAAATGTATCATCTCACTGCAATAGCAAGATTAATACCAAGTTCGGCAGCTATGATAGAAACAGTGGAAGCAATGGCTTAAGTGCTTTTGGTGAACAAAACATGAAATAACAGAACATGAAATGCAATATTATACGCTTGAAGTCAATAACAGAACATGAAATACTTGAAAAACAGGGATGATGATTCTGTGAAAACAGAAACTGAAAAGGGATATTTGATACATTTCTGAAACGTAACCAAAGCTAATTAAACTCTACACGGTGCAAAAAGAGATATAATCAATCAAAAAATAAAATTCCAGCACACATGCCCAGGAAGAGATCTGAGAGAGCATTTGGGGTTAAAGAATGAATTAGAGACTGGAGATAGAATATGACGCTTCTGTAAGGGAGAGAGAATTTGACCCCAAAAAGCGTGAATTTTTTTAGGATGAGGGAATGAGAGGGTTAGCGCGAAAGAATTTCCCCCAAAAAAAAGAGCGCCAGCGAAAAAAAAATGGGAAGAAGAAATCAATGTCTATGACGCACATGCCATGTCATAGAAATCAATGTACAAGAATCTGCCACGTGTCAATCTATTATATTTCATATTATTTCTCTATAATTTAATTTCTAAAATTCATAATAAATAAATTTAAAATCAGAAAAATACCCAGAAAATTCCTATGAACATCTTGTGATATTATCTTCTCTTTAAAGCTCCAAAATGCTAATTCATAATTAAAAAAAATAAAAATCAGAAAAATACACCGAAAATGCCTACGTATGTAGGGTTTAAATTGGTAGAGTTTAGGGTTTAGGTTTTAGCGGTTGGGGGTTTAGAGTTACTAGATCTATGGTTAGGGTTTAGGTTGTAGGGTTTATGTTGCAAGGTTTAGGGTTTAAGGTTTAGGGTTTAGAGGTTTGGGGTTAAGGGTTAGGGTTTAGGGTTTAGGGTTTAGAGGTTTGGGGTTAAGGGTTAGGGTTTAGGTTTTAGCGGTTGGGGGTTTAGAGGTTTAGGGTTAATGGTTAGGGTTTAGGTTGTAGGGTTTATGTTGCAAGGTTTAGGGTTTAAGGTTTAGGGTTTAGAGGTTTGGGGTTAAGGGTTAGGGTTTAGGGTTTAGAGGTTTGGGGTTAAGGGTTAGGGTTTAGGTTTTAGGGTTTAGGGTTTAGGGTTACTAGATCTCTGGATGTTTGTTTTTTCCGATTTTTGGCATATATGATCTGGAAGTATAAACAAACAAGTTTGACGGTTGGATCGTTGAAACTAGTTTCGTAGAATGCGTATGCCATCAAAACAATATATTAACTAACAATTAAGAGATTATTTATACTTTCGTTAAATATAACATAAGATTTTGTAGCTTAAAATTTATTATTGTAGTTAGGATTGGGTTTTTGTTAGAAAAATATATTATTGTGGGTTTTATGTAAACTTGAATTTGTATTTGTTTTGTATTTTTTTTTTGGGAAATGAAGGAAGAAAGTTGTAAAAGAAAGAAAAAAAAACACACTTCTTAGTGGAGCCATCTGTCCTTTTTCTTACTGTTATTTGCCAATTTCTGCCCAAGTATTTTTTTTTTCGTATGGCGCTTTTTTTTCCCCCGAAAATTCTAATCTCGCGCTCTCGCTCCAGACCCAAACTCTAAAATTCCAATACCCACTCTCGCCCTGCCTCTCTCTCGCACTCTAGCTCCCTCTGTCTCTCTATCTTTGGTTCTATCCTGCCTCTCTTCCTATTTCGCTAGGAGATTAGCCAGTAATCTCAACACCTCCTCTCGTCATCTTTCTGTCTCTCTCTGTGTCTCTGTCTTTGGTTCTATCTCTTCTAACGCAAACCCGCGCTTCCTCTCTCTCATCCACAAACTCTCCAAATCTCACAAATATTTCTGAGTTCAACACCAAAATAGCAAGGTTGTGTATGCACCCTATCTTTCATCTGTCAACGAGCATGACTTGGAGAAGGTGATTTTTTTTTTCTTCCTGAATTTGGTTTTCTCTGTGTTCCAGGTTTCGATTTTTCCGTGAATTTGCTATATGGATCTCAGCTCTTTGGAAAAGGTATGCTTTGATTGTTGTTCATAGTGTTTTGAAGGGTCAGAGGGTTGAAATGGTTCTGGGTTTGGAATATGATATTACTTCTTTTTGGTTTTCCCATTTTTGTTTGTTAAACTGACATACATATCATCTCCAAATTAATTAAGTCCCATACAAGCTTAGAATCCGTGTTTAAAACTAGCTCTGTCTGTCTTCAAAGTTTGTTTCACTTGATGTGGGTTCTGTGTCAAATTTGAGATCTTTCACTTGCACACGTACCCTGTAGTTAATTCATTTTTTATGTTTTAATGCTTTGAGATGTTTCACTTGAACATTCAACAGTCCAAGTTTTCTGAATACAATGACTTTCCCTTTTCACTGAAAAGGACGACTTTTTTTTATTTTTGGGCAGCCAAAGTATGTCTTTTATTTCCATTTGTAAATTATTGTTTGGTTAATGTAATGCATGTGTTGTAGCAGGATTCTATCAAGTATTGAAGGAGAAGAGCAAACACTTTGACGAAAATGTGAGTGACAACAAGAGCTTGATTATCAATGTTGAGTTATCCAAGTATTGGAGGAGAGGAGGAAACGCCTTGAAGAGAAGCCAAAAAAAAGAAAGCGAAGTTCATGGAGAAAAAGAGTTATCCAAGTATTGGAGGAGAGGAAGAAAGTGAAATCATAATTACACAAAGGAGAGACAGGCAATGTGGAGAGAAGAGACAGGCAGCAAGCGTTTGTGTGTCCACATGTCTAGCAAGTAATGGGATTGTGAATAACATTCCTCTGTTGAGGAATTTAGGTACTAAATAATTACTTGGGATGGGTATGTTTTTATGCTATCAACAAATAATAACTTGGGATGGGTACTAAATAATATTATTTTTGTGCCGTCTTCAAAAACCAAGTTAATGCTAATACTATATGTGGTTAAACCAAAGCAACAAGAGGACAAAAAACCACCAAGAGGACCAAACTAGTGAAACAGCAAGGACAAGAAAATAAACCAAAGCAACAAGAAGATATGTTGAAATCAACCATGTCGTCTTGAGTCTCACAAGGACAAGAAAATAAACCAAAGACCAAAGCAACAAGAAGATATGTTGAAATCAACCATGTCGTCTTGAGTCTCACGATTAAAGGATAAAGAAACCGAAACCAACCTCAAACCCACCTTTGGGATACATGGGGAATCGCTTTCAATATTCTGTTTGTAAACTGATCAACTAGTAAGGGGTAAAACCCAAACGACTACTACATTTTGTAACATATGTACATTGGGAAGTGCTTTCAGGTTATTGTATGACAATATGGCATAACATCCTTTTATCCACCCTTCTCATATTGTATCACGGTTATTGTATGACAATATTGTATGTACATATTTTCTTCAGCTTCTCAAGTTAAAAAAAAAACCTTTCTAATTAAACAACATGCACCTCTGTGTTCAGACTGAATTGCTAATATATTCACATCACCGTAATCAAAACAAAACAGTGTTGCATGTGTGTTCACACGGTTGGTAATACCTCTCAAGTTCAAAACTAAGGCACCGTAATCAAAACAAAACAGTGTTGCATGTGTGTTCACACGGTTGGTAATACCTCTCAAGTTCAAAACTAAGGCAGTTAAACATTCAGCCATAATCATACATCTATATATTGTAGCATCCCTGCAACAAGTCTACAGTAAGCTTTAGCCAGATCATGCACCATTTGACCACTAAATGAAATTTTATCCAGCTCCATCAAGTGCCCAAAGCAGGTCTCTCTAAATCTTCTCCTTTGTTCATCATTAAACTTTAACGCAAAATTAGAGAGTACTGTACTCGGCACACATAGATTATTCACCCTCGCCGAATACACCTCTGATTCAGGAAAACAAAGCTCAAACCCAGATTCCATTTTTGACCTGCAACATACACCATTTACACAACTTAATATATACTCATATCTATACTACTCACATTACAATAAACACATTATGATAAAAAAAAAAAAAGGATACCTAAATCCATACGAATGACATATAATGAACACATTCAGATACAGACTCTGATACCAATATCCATACACTATAATGAACACATTAAGATACTCATATGATACTGATATCCAAACTACTCACAGTATTATCGTGTTGGTTCAGATACACATCGACACTATTATCGGTGATAAAGGAAGACTGGATTGTTTATGTGGCCAGTTTAGACTTAAGAGTATTCTTTCCATAAAACATAAATGACATTATCCTAGCCATTGTAATAGTTTCCTACTGCATCTTTCTAAAAAAGATACTCATATGATACCCAAATCCATACTATTCACACTGTTATCAAGACATTCAGATACACAATCGGATACCTCTTTCTTTAAAAAAAAAGATACATAATAAGATACCCAAATCCATATTACCCACTTATTTGCAAGATACAAAACAGACACCCATATCCATACTACACACGTTATTATCAACACATTCAGATAACCAACATCCAAAGTAGCGTAACTATTCAACCAAAAGAAAAGTTGCGTAACTAATGGCCATATACTTGGTCAAACATTTTCCTCGAATACTCAATTTCACAAATACAGGATATCTCTTACCTTAGAATTCGGAGCTTCCAAATTTGTAGAAATATGACAATGGAGCAGCAACAGAGCTCGACTTCAACCCCAAATATTTCCACCTTCCTCAAATATGACAATGAAGCAACAACAAAGCTTGTACAAATGTGGATTCCAACTCAAAGATTTTAAAACCAACAGTATAGAACCAAAGCCAAGTGCTCACTTTGTGGTCTCCAATCGTCAAGTAATGAACTCAAGGCCACTTTGACGAATGCTCAGACCAGAATCACCAAACTAGACAAATGAGGGGTAGATGTAATTTGCTTTGTATGGTCTGACTCTGAATGACCAAACTAGAAAAGAAAAAAAAGGAATTAGAGGGGTAGACCGTAGGGAGGGAGGGAGGAGAATATCAAACCAGAAAAAAAAAATTGTGTTCTTCAAGAGAGCATTTGTTTTTGGAGGGAGGGATGTTTTTGGAGGGAGATATTGTGGTCTTCAAGAGCACAGATGGGTACCAGATGGGTCCTCAAGGCTTCACAAGTGCACAGAACAGAATCATCAAACAAAAAAAATGAAAACACAAAAAGAATTACATTGCATGTGCTCATCGGGATAATACCTTGCTTTGTATGTTTTGAATCACCAAACCAGAAAACTGAACAGCTCTCTTTTTTGATGAAAAAATGGGGGCAAAGTGTGCAACCACTCAGAGCCGGGGAGAGGTTAAGGTTAAAGCTCTCCCCATGGGATTTGAACATCTCTCTTTCCTCAAACAGAATAGCAAACCAGAAAAAAGAAGAAAACCATGTTCTTCGACAGACAGACAGACACAGAGAAAGACAGAGAAACAGAACTTTTTTTGGAGGGAGATATTGTGGTCTTCAAGAGCACAGTGCGTTTGTTTTGGAGGGAGGAAGCCACGTTCCAGTGGTATGGTTTTACCCACTTTCAGTTACACTTGCTTCTTATCATCCGTTAGATTTGATCCAACGGTGTTCTGATTTAGAGGTTCGCAAAATGACGTTCCCACCAGAGAATAGCCCAATATCATAACCCTATCTATCTAATCCCATCCATCAACGTCAGTCACTTTATTCTTTCTTTCTTTTCTTTTTCTCACTTCACTCTCTCTCTCATTCTTTCCGTTTCTTTTCCTCTGAGTTTTTTTATTTTGGCAACTTGAGGCAGTCATCATCACACTTTCTTTCTTTTCTTTTTCTCACTTCACTCTCTCTCTCATTCTTTCCGTTTCCACCTCTTTTCCTCTGAGTTTTGGAAAATGCCCTGAGTTTTATTGTTTTGGCACTTGAGGTTGAGGCAGTCATCATCAAAAGAGAGATGTGAGAGCCCACCAAGAAAAAACCGTGGTCTTAGAGCTCTAAGCTCTCTTTCCTCCCATTTCTTTCTCCCCTCTCATTTCTTCTTCGTTTTCTTTTTTCTCTCTTATTATTCCTCTTTTCTTTTTTCTTCCTCTCTTTCTTTGATTTTCTAGTACTCTGATTTTTTTTTTTCCTTCGTTCTATGTTTCTCTCTCTCCCTCTATATCTCTTTCTTTACAGATCTGGGTTCTTGAATATCTTGAGTTAAGTTCTTGAATCTGATTTTTTTATTGTTCGAATATGGAATCTGATGATTTTTCATTCAAATTTAAAGCTCAGTTGAGGTTCAGATCTGTTTTACTTGGATAGTTTTTTTTTATTTATATAATTATTATTTATCTTTTAAGGTTCATAACATCAGATCTGGTTTTTCTTGTATGGACTCGTTGATTTGTTCCATTGATGTTTGTAAATATCAGCTAGGCTAAAGAGTCCGCTCCAAACCGTGAAAAACCGGAATCGAACCGGACATAAACAGGTCCGGGTTGGTCCGGTTTTCTTTGGTATTTTTGTTAAGATCCGAACCGGACCGGATTGGTGAACAGTACCGGCTTCGGTTCT